TGTGTGTGTGATTTTCTTTCTGTTTTAGTTTTGCACATACGCACGCACATGTGTATGTATGTGTATGCGTGTATGCCTCTGTGTGTGTGTGTGTGTGTGTGTGTGTGCGTCTCTCCCCGCCTCCCTGTCCCCCCCTCCCTCTATATCCATACATACATCCATACAAACCTCACTCACACGCACGCTCACACGCGCGCGCACGCACGCGCGCGCGCACGCACACTCTCTCTATATATATATATATATATATATATATATATATATATATATATATATATATATATATATATATATATATATATATATATATATATATATATATATATATATATATATATATATATATATATATATATATATATATATATATATATATATATATATATATATATATATATATATATATATATATATAGACAATAATCAGAATCATCGGAATTTTGTGCTACGACGACGACGATGATACAACTAGCCGTGAGCTCAAGCCGAACTTCATAGTCATTCGAGCAAATACGTCAAGGTTCGACGTAAATTTGCATGTGGAGACGTACTCTTCCAGGACCGGCGAGTGGGTGGGGTCCACACTAGTGGCCACCCGCGTATTTTCTCTGAACTAGTGATCTTCCGGTGGTGGCCAACGGCATTTTCCACTGGCGTACAAGGGACGAGGAAATTGCGGTTTACGATCCAAGAAAGAACTCGTTACAGCTAATCGAGATGCCGTTGTTTCCTCAGGATGCGGTCTCGTTGACTTTACAAGGTCAACGTCGGGAGACGACACTTTATGGCACGGTATGTTGAACCCTCAAAGAATGGAGATTTATCGGATGATGCCCAAGGGGCGCGATGACGGAAAGTGGGAGTTGATTTACGAAATCGCCATTGATTCGATGGGAGTGTTCATTCCGTGTCCCGTTCCAATCGGGAATAATCAGAGGAACAAGGTCACATTGGAAGGGTTTATTAATCCACAAAGGGAGAGGATTTATTATTGCAATTTGGAGAACAATTCAATTGAGTTGGTTCAATATAGTGGTATTCCTATTATGCAAACCATATATGGCGACTACATTTGTCCCTACATTGAGTCTCTCTCCTTGTCTTCATACTTTCTTTAGACATAATTGTAGTTTCATAGGATTGAATTACTTGGATTTGGTAATATATCAAGATTCTTGATTCTTGATTTGGATTAAATTACTTTTAGGAATTTTATGTCTCATATATCAAAATTCTTGATTCTTTTATAAGAAATAGTCCAATGTTCGTTCTTATGATGTTAATTTTGAGTTTATTATAGTTACGAGATCAATGTACGGGGACTTAGATGCTATACCTGACTGTTGACACCAAGTGAATTTGTACAGTAGATTTGATTAAATAACTACCCCTAAGCACACATATACATGGGTATGTGTGTAGTTATGTGTAGATTTACGGTTCAGATTTTTATCCAATGTAGCATCTAAATGTGATAGACGAGGATTCACAATCCAACTTTTAGTAACGTTCCTTTAAAATTTAGGGTAAATTCTACTTTCCTTCTTGTAATTTGACTCGATATCACTTTACCCATTTCTATCCTCGATTGCATCGATTTGCTCCCTGCACTTGAAGAATTGTCTCAATGTGGCCCCAACTGCTAGTTGTCAAACATTTAACCTTATCACCGATTGATCTAAGCTCTAGAATTACAAAAACGTCACCTCTACCAGTTTGAATATTTATTAAAAAAATAAATAAATAAAAATAAATAATAAATAACAAAAAATTCGAGACAACGAGAAAACACAGCACACGACTCCTGCCACAATTTTTTTAAATATTTTTTTCATTTTTTTAATAATTATTTAAACTGTGAGTGGTGGGTTTTTTTTGTAATTTTCAGACTTAGATCAAACGGTGTTAAGGTCAAATGTCTAAAAACTAACGGCAAGGGCCACATTAAGACATTTTTCAAGTACATGGGAGCAAATCAATGCAATTGAGAGTAAAATGAGGTAAAGTGATATAGAGCCAAAGTACAAATGGGAAATAGAATTTACCCTAAACTTTAACCCAATGTTAGATGGCATCCGATTTTCTCTGGGAAATAAGCAATTTGTCCGTAGTCAAATCCCGTTTGTATATAAATATTTAACAGTTCCATTAATTAAATAAAAATAAAAGGGAAGTGATATTGACGGTAGCAAAATTACGAATGCGGGTTTAAATAATCCACTCTCTATCTATCTTTCTCTCTCTATAATTTTATTTTTAATAGCTTTTATATTAGAAATCGTTCCAAAACCAATGTTATTGTAGCGATTTGCAAAGAAAAATGAGTGCATCGAA